GCATAAGCAATAAGGCAGTAGCAAACATTTCCCTGATGAGAGCTATCAAGAGGAAGAAAGTAGGCCCAGGGGTTATCTACTGTTTTCAAAAAGCAACCTCTCCCAGAAGAATCCATGAGGAATAAAACAAAACATATGCCTTCAAAATCAGTACTTTGCTTTATCAATTTGATAAAATGATAGAATGACCACATTAAAAGCTTATTTTTTTATGCCCCAACCAATAATGCAGAAGGTGAAATAAGGCAGAAGGTGAAAAAATATGTATCTATTTATTTAAAAAAATTGTTTTCTTTTTGAGATTTTTCAGCAGCTATGACTTGTAATCACAGTGTTACTTCTGTTATTTCTATATATCTTTAGAATTACTTTAGACCAATGTCTGTAACCTGGGATTGCAGATTGCCACCCTCACTTAAAATCTTGGGCTCCGAACCCAAGAATAGAAAAGAAACAAGTGAAAAACAATTCAATTGAAGGTGTGATCCTCAAAGCACAATTGGATATTGATCTGGGAAAAAATTCACTTACATAGAGCTGGCTCCGGATTTGAAAACATCAGATTTTGGTCATGATCTTGGCTTTTGAAATGTATTATCTTTTGAAAAATGGAATTTGAATGCGAGAAACACCCATCATTTATTCTACAGGGAAACTGACTTCAAAATACAAATTGTTCATTGGTAGAAAATCTATTTCATATTTCATATGCTAATTAGCTATTCTTATTTTGCAGTGATTGAGAAAGATATTTTTAAATCCTTTTTGTGTTTTTCACAAAAAGCAACTGAACACAATGTGATAGCAATCACAGTTAAATAGAAGAGCTTTGTTTTTAAAAACCAGCTAATTTTTTCTAAATCCGTGGAATGAAAACTGTATCGCAAGGTCTTCCAATTCTTTTACTTCCTCTGTTTTTGAACTTTTAACAATAAGAGACAGTCAATCCACTTAAATTTAAAGGCATAAAGGTCACATGACAAAGAAATGAAAGGGTGCAATTATCGTTTATTATCAAGACAACCACTGTTCTGTAGCAAAACAGCCACCATACATTCTTCTTTGCCTTGTTGCTCATTTAACATACCATTCTGTCTTCCTACATTTCTTTGTCTTCCCCCTATCTGCTTCATCTTGTCTTCCATTTGCCCCTCCAGATCCACTCTCCACCATTCTCCACCCTGCCCTTGGCCCTGGAAGGCCAACCTTGAAGACCACATCTGCCGGCTTCCTTACAACCCTGTGGTTGGTTCAGTTAGAGGTTTCCAGGCAGAAGATCAAAGGAGAGAGAGGCCAGGATCTTCAGCCCCACGAGCTCGGCCACAGGCCACCGGCCACCACTCTGCCATGTGGCCCTCTCCGTGAAGCTCACCTCTCTGGATTCCAGTGACCACTGCTTCCCCTGTTCCTTCAGGCCGAGGGGTGTCTATTCTCTGTCAGGACCTTGTCTACCAGGAGCTTTATAAAGCTCCTTCTTCTTTTGGTTTCTGGTTAATGGTCCATCCTCACCCAAGCCTCCCTGCCTGACTAGTTCTCTGTGGGCTCTGCTTTCCCAGCTCTCTAGCAAACTGCATTTCCCTGCCTAACAGTACAGTCTCAGAGCCGAGCTTCTCACCCTGTTAAAGGACATGGGGAAAACACAGGAAAGTACAGTTTAACTGTAATCCCACCACACACACTAAACGCTCTAGGTGCATTGTTTTTTTACTTAAAAAGTCATTAAATCACTCATTAAAAGAAGGTGGGGATATGGATGAAATAGGTGAAGGGAATTAAGAGACACAAACTTCCAGTGACAACATAAATAAGCATGGGGATAAAAAGTACAGCATAGGGGATATGGCCAATAATACTATAATAATGTTGTATGGCAGTGGATGGTAACTTACTTATCCTGGTGAGCAGTGCATAATATCTAGAATTGTCAAATCACTGTTATACACCTGAAACTAATATAACATTTATGTCAACTATACTTCAATAAATAAGGGATAACCATTAAAAAAAAAAGCAGTTAAATCCCTCTTAAAAATCATAAAAGTGACATATTTACTGCAACCAGTGACATATTATAAAAATATATAAAGAGAAGAAGTTAACGCTCTTCCCAATGCTTCTGGATTCTTCCCCTTCACCTCATTCCCCACCTTCACCCTGCTTTGCCCATAGATAAAGAATGTGAACAGACTGGTCAGTCTTTTTCTACACCTGTCTCCATGATATTCAAGCCCATACCAAACATACATATACTCATATATGAAGAGGGGTGATACCTGTCTCGCAAAAACTGCAAGCATGCTATCCATCACCTTGCCACTTGCTAGGTACAGATCTAGTTCAATACTTTGAACGGCCTCATAGTATTATACAGTAGAAATGTACTATAATTTATTTAACCATTTCTCTACTGATGGACATCCGAATTTTTTCAGCTATTTTTGCCACTAGAAACAATGCTACAGTAAACACTGTAGGGTTGCTAGGTCAAAGTTACATATAGTTTCAATCGCCACCCCCTTACTTTCTTAAAAGTATATGGTAATGTATTTCTTAATTTAATTCTTACATTTGTTTTATATGGGTATGATATGGTTTATGCAATTGTTGAATCTTATTTTCTCTCTTAACAGGAATTACAGAGAATTTTCTTTTTTTTTATTTTTAAAGATTTTATTTATTTATTTGACAGAGAGAGACACAGCGAGAGAGGGAACACAAGCAGGGGGAGTGGGAGAGGGAGAAGCAGGCTTCCCGCCGAGCAGGGAGCCCGATGCGGGGCTCGATTCCAGGACCCTGGGATCATGAACTGAGCCGAAGGCAGATGCTTAACCGACCGAGCCACCCAGGCGCCCTGACCACATATTTTTTAAGTAGGCTCCACACCCAAGGTGGGGCTTGAACTCATGACCCAGAGATCAAGAGCACATGCTCTACTGACTGAGCCATCCAGGCGTCCCTACAGAGAACTTTCTATGTACTATATACTTTCTGTAGTAATCTTAAATGGTTGCATATGTCCGTTATTGTTATGAAGTTCCTTTAAATTTTTACTGGACTTGTATCAAACCTCAGTATTACTGTAGGAAGAACTTCTATCCACTCCCTGTAATATATGCTCAGAGGAATGAAAGTTTTGACAGTTGCATTAGATATTAAAAAAACCGATTCCAAGTGTGCGTCTCAACTCTTAATCGGTTGACATGAACTACATCTTCTGATGGCCCTTCCAATTGATCAAGTGACTCATAATATCAAGAAGAACTACGCCTGGGGCATCTGCTTCCACCACCGCCTCAGTGACTTTAATCAGAGGACAAAGATCATGAGATTGCTGAGGAGCACACAGAAACACTGGGCATTTTCCTAAGTGTGGTGAGCCAGATTCCATGTGATTCTTCTGGCATTAAAAGGGTCTATTTCAGATCAAAGGTAAAAAGAAAGCCATCAAAACAGGAAAGAATCTCAGCCCCGAGGACATCGCTGTGCAGGTTTGCACCACCAGAGTCCCTTGGTCCGAGAAAATACCACATTCCACAAAGGCTTGGGAACATTCTACAGTAGTTTCCATCCCCAAATAAAATACTATAAAACCAATTCCAAAGGTGGGGGGGGAGAAGATGGTGTGTGCTGGGGGGGGAGCGGGGGGGCGTGGGCATGAGAAGACAAATCTGTCCATCATTCACTGTTAGCATATTCTCTGTTTGATCATATCACCATCAGACAAGAAATTCCTTTGTGTAGCCCATGGAATGAAGAGTTAAGAAAATTTCAAAGCCAATAGGAGGTGGACCAATAGCCTCTATGATACCTTTATGCTATTTCCTGGGCGGATGGTTAATACTGGCTTTAACTCTTTGTCCTGTGAGAAGGAGAAGTGGATTTCATTCTTTCCTGGGAATTACTACACACCCATAACACTAAAGAGTCGTCCAACTGGAAACAGATCTGATTACTTTTGCCAGACTTAATCTCTTACTTGAGCAGTTAATGAGAGCTTTCAATAATCTTAATCACATCACTTCAATAAAATATCTCGATGTTATTTCCACAGGAAATAAATGTCCACAGACCATAAACCCAACCTGGTTGATAGCTAACATGGGAGAGAGGTGGGAGTTGGATCCAGAAAAAGGGCCACTGTGCAGTGATAGTCAATGAATTATGCCCCTCTACCCCCTCCACCCACCATCAGGGCTGCTGGGGACTCTCTGAGGCCTCTACCGGGAAGGGGTGAGAAGGGAAATGAAGTGAAAGACAGGCAGCTAGAAGCATGAAAATTCTCCCATACATATGGACCCACCAGTGGCAGGAAGTCCCTGAAGGATCCGGAATATGAAGAGAACTCATGACCACGGAAAAGGGGAAGAAGGGGGAAAAGAACACAGGAACACAGGATATAAAAATGAAGATCCACTATCTGAAGAACTCCCTCCCTTTATGCTTTTCAGAGGGACAGTAACAAGAGACAATGTTTGGATGTTCTGGAGGAAGGTACCAGCAACAGACAAGTCACCCACACCAGAGGAAAAAGTCTCTCCCACTCCTTTCCTCCTCCTTTCCAATTCCTTCTTTTATAAGGTTAGAAGCACACTATCATGATTCCAAGGACTGGCTCCTGAAAGTGCTATGCAGGGCTGGGCCCAAAGGAAGGGGAATGGTTCTGAGCAATTACGTGGAGAGGCCAAGGTAGAGTGTGACCACCCACTGAATTTACTACTCGGTGGGCTCATGGTCAGTCACCATAGAAACTGAATGTCCTCTGTGTGCCTGCCTTGACCCAGATACAATGGAGCTTTTATAATATTTTTTATATAGAAAAAGGGCAGGGTGCCTAAGTGGCTCAGTTGGTTAAGCGACTGCTTCCGGCTCAGGTCATGATCCTGGAGTCCTGGGATTGAGTCCCGCATTGGGCTCCCTGCTCATCGGGGAGTCTGCTTCTCCCTTTGACCCTCTCCCCTCTCATGCTCTCTCTCTCTCTCTCAGTCTCTCTCTTAAATAAATAAAATATTAAAAAAAAAGAAAAAGGGCAACAAAATAAAAAGATAATTTTAAATCAGGAAAAAAACAAGATTTACTGAAGCTCAATGTATTTAATGCCCAGTTTCTGGATGAGGGACACGCACAATCCCAGAAGTTAGTGTGGTTTCTAAAAAAGAACCTTTAGAGTTGAAGCAACTATTCCACAACTGAGCCTCCAGAAGTCTCTCATCTAATAACTGCACAGACCTCCCTTTCCAAGAATTCCAATGGCTCCAGCATCCATGAGGAGAAAGAATTTTCATCACTAGGGTTCTATGATACATGAAACAAAAGCTGTAATTCTCTGACTTTCCTGGTGAAGGGGATTGGTTATATCATGAAAGTAGCAAGTCTTCTCAAACTAAGATCAATATATTGCAAAAATAAGATCAAAAGTATTTACCACATTTTTAAAGAACCACGCCTGGATCAATGATTTAGAGAAATTTAAAAAATGTCAAGAGTCAAAATGAACAGAAAGCTGTTGAAATTCCGCTTTCCTAGGTAGAGATTTTTATCTCAGAAATTGAGCACAATGTTTTGTCTAATCTTTAAGAGACCGTATATCATATTACGACCCATTCCCTAGACAAGGCGTTGACCACATGCTGTGGGAGTTACCCCAGAAAAGAATCGGTCCCCTGCATAGTGGCATATGAAACCCTGAGGCCCTGGCCACATTGGCCTGGAAAATGTAAGGAATATCGGAGTGGCACCTTTTATACATTACCTTTTTTGGTCTCATTGAATCCACTTTTAGAACCCCCAAATTACTTCCACATAAAATTTTATATCACATTAAACATATAAGCCAAATTGGCTCTTGAGCACCCATAAGTAAAACATGACAGTAAAACAGACCATAAATAAAACAGAATAAACATTCCTTCATGCTCATTTGGAAAATAGAGTCCAAAAAAAGAAAGAAAATCTGAATCGAGTTTCTTCAAGTGAGACTGAGTTCATCCCTCTTCTAGTAAAAAAATAAAGTTCTTGCCATAAAGTAATGATGCTTATAAAAGTGATTGTTAAAAAACAAAAATGAAAAACCTCTTACAACAGACAGATGAGCAAAGACACATGGGGCTTTTGCTCTTCTGCTTAGAGAACCCCAACGAACCCGAGCTACTCCAGCAGCATGAACAGCAGAATTTAGGTCAAGGGGCCAATTACCCAGTGTTAGCATCAAAGGCAGAGACAAGTTGCTACTTCTTTCTGCTCATTCCTGTTTCCTTTGAAAATCCTGAGTTAAGCAACCACAGAGGCAGCTTTAGAGTATGCCAAAGTAAAGCATTTTTAAAAGACATTTACCAAGCATGGCTTCTGGAAGCAACTACACCCCTGACCCTATAAGTCAGCACCAGCCTCGCCATTGCCACACTCCCCTACACCACTCCCAGTTGCCTTGCTACAGAGTGAATTGACTAACAGGCCCAGGAATTTGGGGTTCTTTGTTCAGGAGCCAGTCTCTGAACAGCACAAGCAGATTACGGTTTGTGAGCTGCCCAAGCACAGATGTAAAGTATCTTATACAGGGACTTACCTGGAGGTGACTGGTACTGGGGCCAAGCTGCAGTCTTTCCGGGCCCCAGGCTCTTTTCCAAAGGTTCCCCAGGCACCGACCGGGGTTGGCCTGCTCCGAGGGAGGTCGAGCTGGCTCCTTTGGTCTCCGTGACCTTTGCAGAGGGTGATGGCTCCAAGGTGTCAGCAGAAGGGGACCCAGAGAAAGTACTGCTCTTTCGGCCAAGAGAGTCATCAGGAGCCACTTCCCACTCACCAGGCAGTGAAGGGAGCTGCAGGGCCCTGTGATGCTGCTCGGGGCCTGGGAGCCTTGGAGAGAGAGGCGAGGGAACAGGTGCCATCCGTTTGTGTGTGCTGGACTGGGAGGCTGAATTATTCAGTAGCATGCTGAGGGCTGCTGGTGCTGGGGGGGACGGCTTCTTCTCATGGCCTCCGGGCTGTGACCGGTCCGGGCCTCCGCTGTGGGGCAGATCCAGAAACGAGGTTTTGTGATCCCTCAGAGGCAGCCCGGTCTTCCTCTTGCCTCTGGCTTCTGGGAGGGCACGGGGGACTGGTGTGCTTGGGGGGAAGCCCAGCCTTTTCCCCTCAGTGGCTTCATCTAACTTCTCACTCTCTATCACCTTCAGCAGGACCTTGTTCACAGCCCCCTCGGCACTGGCTGGCATGCGTTCCCTGTCCGACAGCTGCCACGACCTGTCGCCTTGCTGTTCCTGGCCCTGCCACCTGGACTCATGAGTCCCAGCCTCGGCTCCTGGGAGGGTGAGCCAGTCTGCTCTGGGTATAAACTCAGCTCGGGCTGCCGGGCAAATGGCCATGCTTTCCTCACCTTTGGGATGCGTTCTAACTACTCTTTGCACCTGAGTAGACAGATCCTGGACTTTGGCCACCACTCTGGAAATAGGCTTCTTCCTGCATGTACGCTCAGTAGACTTCTCCCTTTGGCCCCTCTCTGCCTCTGGATGCTTCTCAGAGTCCTCATGACTTCCAGATAAACCTGTCTGTGGGCGCACCAGCCTGTGAGGGCCCCTCTCCAGCACGCCAGCATCATCATCTCCTGGCTCTGTGGCGCTGCAGTGAGGGGGCGGCTCTCCTCTTCCAAGCCCGGGGTCCTCAGAAGCCCCCCTGAAGCTCCCAAAGCTGCGGCTTGTATCCAGTGTCCTGGGGAGCTCTGGGGGGCAGCTCTCTCTCCACTGTAGGGAAGAAATAAATGCCCCACTTGGGAACGAGCTGCCTCTCTCCTCTAGAAGCCAAAGATTAGGCCTTGTTCGAGAAAGAGGAAGAGATTTGCTGGAACAGATCTGGTCCTTCCCCATCTGAGGAGCCGACTGCTGGCCCCCATGCCCTTTTCTTCTTGTCCTCTTCTGTGGAAGCACCTCAAAGCTCCCTCTCCTTCCACCAAACCTCCGAGGCTTTCTGTTCCCATGGGCACTCCTCTTATTGAGACAGCCCACGGGGGGCTCCCCTGGCCAGTCACCAGCACTCTGGAAACAGTCGTCCTCAAGGGCCAGGCTCACGGACAGCTCCGGCAGCTTCCCCTCCTGGTTCCCCATCGTAATCCCCAGGATGTGGTCTGAGCTCAGCAGATTGGCCAGAAGTTTCTCCCTCTCTGCTGTGAGTTTGTACAGCTCAGTTAAAATGTCTTTTGTGGGAGTTTGCTTGAAAAATATGTCGCCTGGATGTTCATTTGGCTGCAGGCTGAGGTTGATGACGTCTGACCCCTCCCTGACTTGGTAGCAGTTATGAAACCCTTTATTGGATCTGTCTAGAGTTACAGTGCCCTTGTATGAAAATCCTCTGACCTCCCCCCTTGGAAGATAGAAGCTGATGTAGCAGACTTCAGTAATGGGCTTACGCAATTGGAGGGTGCAGTGAGTGCCTTCCATTATGCCTACCTAATTATTCATGCCTTGGAGATGCTGGTCTGTGGTCAGGCTTCCCAGGCTCCGGTGGTGGGGCATGTGATGGTGGCTAGGCAGGGAAAGCAGCTGACAGTCATCTCTAGCAACAAGACCGCCTGGTAGAAGAAGAGGGGAAGAAAGCAGTTTGTCTAACTGAGTGCATAAATCACACACCAACATAAATGAAATCATAGCAATGACTTATCCTTTCTCTCTGGCTGATCTCAACCAACTCAACTCACACCAACCAGAGGCTGATTGCAACCACTTCCCCAGTCCCATCCCCCCACCAAACCGGAGATTTTCTACAGCTGAGAGATGGCAGAGTGCTCTATTTTTTTTTTTTTTTTAAGATTTTATTTTATTTATTTGACAGAGAGAGAGAGACAGCTAGAGAGGGAACACAAGCAGGGGGAGTGGGAGAGGGAGAAGCAGGCTCCAGGCCGAGCAGAGAGCCCGATGCAGGGCTCGATCCCAGGACCCTGGGATCATGACCTGAGCCGAAGGCAGACGCTTAACAAATGAGCCACCCAGGTGCCCCCAGAGTGCTCTATTTTAGCCCCAATACAAAAGCTCCTTTTCCCCCAAAAGAGAACTCACCATATACCCTAGAGCAGGTCTGTCAACTTCTCTAGGCTTCAGTTTATGTTTTTCTATTAAACACAGCTAATACATCTCTCAGAAATCCCGAAGAAAGGGGACTTTGGGATCCTTAGAAAACATAGTCATTTTAATAACTCATGTTTGGAATATTACTTTGCAAAAACGAGTGAGCTTTTTTACTCTTCAAAAAGCACCTTCTAAGACTTGAGATTAATTTTCTATTTAACTTAAAGCAGTCTTGGGAAAAGGTATTAGGCCATAAATTTGGAGCCTTTTCTGAATACAACTCATATATTTTGCCAAAAGAGCTAAAAGTGAAAAATTTTAAGTTTGAAATTCAAATAAATATTTCAGGACCCTTAGTCAAGGTTGTTTGGGTTTTTTTCTTTTTTTTTCTCCCCTATTTCTTGCCTATTTAAGGCCAAATGGAATGGCAGAGAAAAAGTAAATATCTACAAGCCACTGGTTGGCCCTGTGCAGATTTTCCACGTCTTTACCAATGAAGCAGCTGAAATGTCACATAAGCAGTGAAGGTGGCTGTGTTTCTCTCCTAAGATTTGAGGAATCCTAGGCATGTCTTTGTGGCTAACATCCCCCTCTCCCCCAGACCAAGCATGGAGCTTAAAATTTTATATTATGACACTTCATTTCTTAAATTATAGCATTTCCCAATCTTTAAGACTTCCATGCCTAAAAGAAAATCCCTTTGGGAAGGGTAACGCAATAACCATTTACTAACCATTTATATCTTCAGTGAATTATTTTCCTCAGGTATTTTATAACTGGTTCTAAATAATAAAAAGCTACATAAAAGTACATCTTGAGTGGCAGAAGAGAGAAAGGAGGAAGAGTTTTGTAATAGAAACTCCTTGAGGAAGACTGATAAAAGGTGATAAAAATGAAGATTAAAAAAAAATACATACATCTGCTGGTCAACCCACAAGTGCCAGGAGGACTCAGAGTTCTCAGAGAAAGGGAAAGTAGAATGCCATTTTAAAGTGTTAAGAGAAAAGATGTGTTAACCCAGAATTTTATATCCAGTGAAATATTCTTCAAAAATGATGGTGAAATAAAGTCATTCTCAGATGAAGAAAGAGAATTATTGCCAGCAGACTTGCTCTAAAAGATGTGCTAAAGGAAGCTCTTCAGAGACAATGAAAAAAGAAACTTGTAACATCAAGAATGAAGAAAAAGCAACAGAAATGGTAATGTCTGTGTAAACACAGTATTATTCTTCTCTTGAGTTCTTTGAAAGATGTTTCATAGTTGAAAACAAAACAAAACAAAATAACATTGTTTGGTGGGGTTGCAATGTATGTACATATAATATACATGACAGCTACAACATTAAGAGGGTGGGAAAAGAGACCCATATGGTGATAAGTATAACAGAAATTTAATTCTGGCTACACTGTAAAGAGTAAGACATGCATATTTAATCCCTAGGGCAAAGACTAAAAGAGATATAATGAAAAATACAATTGATATATTAAAATGGAAGAATTAAAAAAAAATTCAAATAACTCAAAAGAAAACAAGAAAGGGGAAATGAAAGAGAGAAACCAAAAAATAGAGGCAACAAACACAAGTAAATAATAAAATGGGAAACCTAAAGCTAAACATATAAATAATTACATTAAATGTAAATGGCCTACACACACCATTAAAAAACAAAGATTGTCAGACATGTCTAATATGCAGTTAAATGCATATTAGTTAAATATGACTTGGATGAGGTTACTCAAGAAGAGTACACAGACCAAAAAAAGCAACGGTTGTAGTAGAGTCCTGGGAACACATATATAAGAGATAAATGGAGGGAAAAGAGACTTTAATCAAGGCTGAAAAAGAACATGCATTAAGATAATTCTCCACATTTTATAGCTAAAGAAATTAAGATTCAGTGATCTAACTTCTTACTATGCTTTTAGTATAGGTCTGTAAACCCTAGCCCTAATATCATTCAATCAGTGCTGCCAAAATGAGACCAGAACCCATGTCTCAGAAACTAGTGTTAGATTAAATCAGAGGGCTTCCATAATATAAGCAAGCCTTTCACCCTCCTTTCCCTGACAATAACTGGAGTCACACACCCAGTTATATCTTTAAATTCTTAGCTCCAGCCTTATGCATCATCTCTTCTTAAATACCTGTTGCATTTTCTCTCTATTGATACATTTTCTTTTGCAGAGGAATAGTGTAAAAATAGTGAAAGTCATAACCATGGTATTGTATCATGTTGAAGACCTTTCGACTTAGGATCAAGTAATAGGGTGTAGAAGGTAAAAGGAATGACCTTGGGGTTGTAGATCTCAACATTGGCCATGTAGTTTGTGGCAGGCTACATGGCAAAAATAAGTCCCTACCAATTATAAAAGAAAAATATCCCATTCTTGGAATCCTAAAATTTAAAAAAATATTGCAAAGTTTTACCTTGCTTTCAAGATAAAATACTCTTCTACCACTTTGGGGGGTCCAAATCCAGGTGCAAAATGGCTTCTTTGTGCCACGTGTTCATAATTTCTGAGTTTCTAATGATCATGTAAACAAATAGGGAAGATACTCCTAGCGCCTCTCTCTCTCGGCCTTATCATTTAACAAAAAATTTAAGCAAAAGGCATTATCTGCAATGAAAGGTAGGGATTGAGAAGTGAATTGTTTTAAAGTGGAGTTGCTTGAAAACAACAAATTTCTCCTCTGAATGCACAAGAGCACAGGTATTGATATATCAGTGGCACAAAGATAATCTAACTTGCCTGAATTTAGCATCCAGAGGGCATCTTAGAGAAAATTTATGGAGGAAAAAAATTATTTCATATTTTCTGGTCTTAGGATGAGTTTCAGAATTAGCTTTGATATAATTTTGAACATCCAAAGTCCAAATAATTTAAGACAAAGAACATGAACAAATCTTTTTCAAACACTCTCATTTCCCCATTCTCTTCCATAGTCTGAAATTATTTTTATCAAAATTGTTATGCACATCCTCCACTATCATCAATAAATACTTACAGAGCTGCCTCTGAAGCATAGAACTATCCACACTTTTTCCCAATCTCTCTCTCTCAACCAAAGAAAAGTCTCTTCAGGATTCAGCTATCAGCCTAGCATCCCTGCCAGTGTCAGTATCTGGATAAAATGCCCCTCATGTATTTTCTTCTTTCCTTTGTGAAATGAGAAAGTTAATCTCTAAGTTTCTAATTCATTACCTCAGAATATTACTTGGTGACACCTACTAGCTAGCCAAAGAACTACAAAACTCCTCCTCTTTGAAGAAAAACATATGCCCTGAGTAAAGGAACTTCAACCTCAGCACTCTAGTGGGCACCACATCACAGGCAGTCTTCTGAGCAGGGCAAACACTTCTCTTCAACAAGCCATTAGCAAGTCAGAGTGCAGTGCTGAATCATCACACATATTTTCCCTCTGAGAAACCAGAGGAAAAAAAACTATAAGTCTTGGGAGAAAAAAAGCAAAATAACAAGGAAAGCAATATTGAGTGGGGTTAAATGCACCAGCACTATAATTCCATGCTGAGTTCACAGGACTATTTCAAGCAGCATTGCCTCATTCTGCTTTGACTAAAATACAGCAGCTCTGCAGGCTCCACACACTAAATTATACATCTTAATTTGGCCTGCAAAGTAACCTTCTCTGGTTATGCTCAGTGTAAATGCACTTTGTTTCTTGGGGAGTCTTCATGTCTTCCATTTCCTCTGGCAAACTCCAGGCTGTCTCTCCAAGATAACACTGTTGTGGTGATTTCTTCCCTGACTCTTTTTCCAATAAGCAAGTACATGATTTCACTCTACCCAAAATGGAAATATCTGTTGTACCTCATCATAATGGAAAATTATTGCCTTTTTAGTAGATGCTATTCAATGCTCATGACATACTTCACCAAAGCCTAAAATAAGATCCAAGAATTACCTGCAGTCATGCTGTCTGCTTACTGTCAGTTTCCTAATTGATTCTGGCCCTAAAAGACCAAGGTGAAGCTTTATTTGCTTAGCGATTGGCAAAGTAATGCCCCGTGACTTCATCTGAGCCCAGTACTAAGAGAGATTATCTATAAGTTCCATTATTAAACTGAAAATTGCCCATTTGTCCATTCAGATTCAGGTTCTCCCCTTCCACACACCACTCTAAATACCAGGAGACTGAGTGAACAAGCTCCCTGGTAACTCTGGCTTCTACTGGGTTTAGACATCGGGAAATACTAGTGGAGGATGAGAGAGCAGAATGGAAGAAGGTTCGTATTTATTCCCTGGCTCCCTTCCTCCTTGGCTATGGTTTTGTAGTAGGTATCTCCTCTAATGAAGACCACAGTTCCTTTTGGGTAGCCTTCCTCCAGGTATAGCTACTGTCTCTGGGTACCAGTT